GGTTGTTATGGACAATGGCATCCTTAGAGTGACACTGTCAAAACCAGATGGCATTGTGACCGGCATTAAGTACAACGGCATAGACAATTTGCTTGAGATTGCTAATGAGGAATCTAATAGAGGGTTAAATCAATTCTTTTATTAAAATTTCAAAATTATTATTTTAAGGACGACATAATTTAGATGGGTTTTCGGTTTTTCCATAAAGGTAAAAATATTATTATAAGGTGATGAGATCTCATATTAATTTAATTTTGCTTTATTCAGATATTGGGACTTTGTTTGGAGTCCTCCTGGAAGTACTGGAACTACAGGAACATTTGAATTGTACGTACTTTTTACAAATATAAGAGAAATACAGTACATAATTTATGTAATTGACTGCACCTTGCATTTATTATAGAACCATCTACTACACTGTTGCTAAAAAATTAATGTTACGTTTCATTTTTTTATATAATTAAGTATGCTATTTATTATTGAGTTAGCATTTTAATTTGGTTTCTTTTTTGGTACATAAATCTGGTTAAAATATCATTAAAAAAAACTCTTAATAAAAAAAATTAAAATTACAGGATCCGTGGGGAAAAATTTGAAGTTGTGGTGCAGACAGAGGAACAAATCGAGCTATCATTCTCAAGAACATGGGATGTAAGTGAGCAGGGAAAGTTTGGACCATTAAATATAGACAAAAGGTTTGTGTAACAAACATAGATAATTAATCATGTTTAATTAGATGCACATACATACATATAACTATGCATTATTTGAAATTTGTAATGTTTATTTGCAGATTCGTGATGCTTCGCGGCTCATCAGGCTTCTATTCATATGCAATTTACGAACATTCAGAAGAGTGGCCGGGTTTCAACCTCGACGAGACAAGAATTGTTTTCAAACTGAGAAAAGACAAGTAATTAGTTAAACTGTGTTTGGTAAAACTAGCTGATAGCTTATTATATATGTAATTTTTGAGCTTTAGCTTATGACTTATAGCTGAAAAGCCAGCTTATATGATAAAAGTGTTTGGTAAAATTAGCTGATAAGCTAGTTGGAATAAAAAATTCAACTAGCTTATTATCAACTTTGTTCATCTCTACATTTATTTATTTAATTAAATATATGTCTAATTTTGTAGTTATTATTCATCAAACTAGGTTTCATTATATGGCAATGGCGGACAACAGGCAGAGATATATGCCATTGCCGGATGATCGGTTAGCTGGCAGAGGAGAAGCTTTAGATTATCCAGAAGCTGTCCTTTTGGTAAATCCAATTGAGGCTGAGTTTATAGGAGAAGTGGATGATAAGTACCAATATTCAGGTGATAATAAAGATGTGAAGGTCCATGGTTGGATATGTGAGGACCCAATTGTGGGCTTTTGGGTAATTTTGCCCAGCAATGAATTTCGAACTGGTGGGCCCCCCAAACAAGACCTCACCTCACATGTTGGCCCGATTTAGTATTGAAGTTTGGAGAAGGCGAGAGATGGAAGAAGGTTTTTGGTCCGGTTTTTGTTTATCTTAATTCTGCCGCCCCTCAAGAATCCGACCCTCTTTTGCTGCTTTGGGAAGATGCCAAACTTCAGGTTATATTAAAACTATCACAATTTTTTTAATCATGCGGTCTTTCCATTATGTTGTTTGGTCCAATGTTGTCAAAATCGAATCGGTGAAGCTACCGGTTCAATAGTTCACTGATCGGATCAGTGATCGAACTGGTCGAACCAGTTTAACTAATATATAATTTTTTATTTATTATATATATAATATATAATTATTTATATGTTGATAATTAATGTTATAGTGTATAATGACATTTCTCTAAATAAGAGTTCAATAATAGATAAAGCCGATATGTTGAATGATGATGATAATTTTTATTATATTTTAAATTTTAATTAATATTTAAATTACAAAATAAAGAAAATAGATACAATTGTATTTTAAATTTAATTTTTTTTATTTCTAAATAAAATTTTAAGTATTTTATTATCTATTAAACAATAAAAATAAAATTATGTGCATACAATAAATACGACCAAATCTTGTTTGTAAAAGTATATAATGATTATTTAGTAAACTTGGGCTTTTAAACATGTTTTTTTCTTTTTTTTGTTTTTTTATATAAATAATGATGTGTATTTTAATTCATCTTAATTCCCTAAGCAGAGATGATACAAAGTAAAAAATAACACATCAACTCCTAACCAAAAGTTGCCTCCCACGAACATAAAACAAAAAGAACCAAAAAGAAAAAATAATAATAACATAACAGCAAATAAATACAATGATCTCGAATCCAGTCTCATCACTCAAATAATAACACGTCTGTCTCTTGTTTTAATGTTTTATTTGAACACATTACATATATATAATATATGTCAGGCCCAAACAAGGTGATCATATTACCTTTTCATTAAAGCCCAAATCATTCGGCCCAATAATTCCACAAGACATTTAGTTGTGTAATATCTCACATCGTTAAAACATTGGAAAGAAGTAACCTATTTAATTCATAGTTTCAGCTCACTTGATCACAGTTGGACAGTGGAAATCCAAACCGCTGGACCTTCTAAATTGTCGCCGGTTTAAAACCGGTTTGAACGGTATGCTGTTGGTTTTTGTCGTAGATGGTCCCATACCTCAATCCGGACCGGTATGCTCTCCGGTCCCCGGTTGGACCTACCGGTCCGGTCCGGCTTTGACAACATTTGGTTTGTTCATATTTTTATTTATATTATTTTTTATTTAAATTGTGAAATTTTCCATTTAAAAATACACATAATTTTAAAAAAATATGGTTGTCTACCCTTTACATCTTTTTAATAACAAACTTACTATAAAAAGTATGAAACTATAGATGAAAGTAAAATAATTGAGAAATCAATTACAAATTCTCTCTCTATATATTAATTCAAAACATGTTGAGCCTAAGTAGCAGACTCACAGACTTCGAATGCTGACATGGCAAAAATCTATACTTCGGAATGTTGTTTGTATATTCATTTTTTCTCTAGAATTAGACTTGGTATAGACATAAATAACTTTTTTCAAACTTACATTTAATTTTGTTATCTTTTTTCTCTTAGTATAAATTTCCTTCTTAGTTTGGGCAAATAGCAATCTTACCATCTTATAATTTTTTATTTCTCTCCTAAATTACGTTTTACAAATCTATTGCTCTTTTTTTTTTCATCAATTAGTCCATCAAAATTTTGAAATAAATTTTTTATTTTATCAATAACTTTTATCATATATTTTTTTTAACTCAACACCCGTGTAGTACACGGGTATTGTACTAGTTTCTTTGAAACACAGTTTTCAAATGAACTTTTGCATACAAAAGTGAATTATGAAATATCCATTTGAAAATATACATACTTCTTTAAAAAAATATAATAGTTGTCTACCCATTAAATCTCTTTAAACAAATTTACTACAGAAAATATGAAAACATAGATGAAAGTAAAATAATTAAGCACACCAATTATTAAATTTGTTTGAAAACATACTTTGAAATGGAATTATCAAATTCGAGAGAGAGAGAGAAAGAGAGAGAGAGAGAGAGAGAGAGAGGGGCAGAATAATTAATTGAGCGCCTGAAATGAGATAATGAGAATTGGGGTTACAAAATAATGTTCGTGTGTTATTTATACTAATGTCTAATACCTAGAGTTACTAACTTAAAACTAGTGACAACTTTACATAAGTTGCAATTGTGCTAAAGCTAAAAATACAATAATGCCCTTCTATGTATGTGATACTCCGCCTCCCCCAGCAAGCTAAACATGCACATTGAGGTGTAGCGTGGACTGAAGGTTTTGAAGTTGTGGTTTTGGCAAGGGTTTTGTTAACATGTCTGCAGGCTGCTCTTTAGTGGGTATGTAGCGCAAAGAGATTGTCTATTGTGCAACTTTCTCCCGGGTGAGGTGGCAGTTTATTTGAATATGTTTTGTCTGTTCATAGCAAACTAGGTTTGTTGTTATTGCCATGGCAGGCATACTATCTATAAATATTGCAACTGGAGAGGAGTAAGAAATTTTAAAGTCAATGAGCATATACAGAATCTATTAGACCTCACAAGTTGTGGAGGCCATGGATCTATATTCTGCCTGAGTAGAGGGCCTGCTGATGGTGTACTGCTTCTTTGACTTCCAGGATATAAGAGACTTACCAAGGAGAATTGCATAACATGTTATGCTTTTTCTAGTTTTTATACAACCAGCCCAATCAGAATCACAAAAAGCAGTAATGGTTAAGTCACAGTTTTTCAGAAAATAAGATTCCTTGTCCAACAATGCATTTAATATATCTTAATATTCTATGTGCAGCAGATAAATGAGTAGATGAAGGCTTTGAAATGAACTGGCTCCTAGTTTGAACACTATATGCAATGTCTGGTCTAGATATAATGAGGTATAACAGTCTATCAAAAGGTCTTCTATATTAAAAAACATCAGTTAAAACATCATTATTAGTGGCAACAGTAAATTTTGAGTTGGATCCATATGAGTGTTACAAGGTTTGCACCCTAAGAACCCAGTGTCATTAAGTATATCAAGAACATATTTTCTTTGACATATATTAGTTCCTTGGTCTGAGTGTGCAAACTCTACACCAAAAATATATTATATTTAAGAGTTCTTAAATCTTTAATGGTGAAACAGGAATGCAAATGATGTTTGATGGCAGTGATTTTGTCAAGATTATTATCAGCAATTATGATGTCATCACCATAAACTAATAAGACAACAAAGTCAGATTTATTAGATAAAGTTACCAAGAAACAATCTGCAACAGATTGACTGAAGCCATATTGAATAAGACAAGTTGTCAACTTGTGAAACAATTGCCTAGATGCTTGTTTCAAATTGTATAAGCCTTTAGTGAGTGTGCAAACTCTCTTATCATCCTTAGAAAAATATCATGGGGGAGGTGTCATGGGGGAGGTGTCATGCACACCTCCTCATCTAAATCACCATGTAAAAAGATATTATTAACATCAAGTTGGTATATGTGTCAGTTTTTAATTGATGCTAAAGCAACCATGAATCTGATAGTTGTACCTTTTCATTGTGCCAATTTATATTTAACCTTCTATACTCCTTCACATCCTATGAAATGTTTGTGTGGAGATAATTCAGTTAGGATCCAAGTTTTAGTTCGTTTTAGAGCAGATAATTCCTTAGTCATTGCATTCCAGGGGGGATTTTTGGCAGCTTGAGTGTAAGTTTTAGGTTCTGAGTGTTGTGTAATAGATGCAGTGAATGTATTGTGAGTTGACAAAAGTAATTTATTTGAAAGATAGTCAGATATAGGATATTTTGATGTACAAGAGGTGATATGAGATGTGACATTATCTGTTGGAAAGGATGAATCATAAAAGGCAGCATTTGAAGAAGGGAGATTAGGTTAATACAAGCTTAGGTAAGCAAGAGATTTTGTTTGTCTAGTAGATCTTCTTGGTGGAGGAGTGGGGTTTGAAGTCAGTATTGTGGTTGAAGAAGGTAAGTGATGATTTTCTGTTGATGGAGAGATAGTTGGTAATGTAGCAGGTGTTATATTATGAGGGTTGCGATTGTCATAGGAGAATGATTGTGGTGGTGGGAACAGAGAATGATATGATTGAGTATTATGTGTACACTGAGATTGAAAGGAAAAAAATAGTCTCATAAAAAATACATTTCTGGTGATAAATGTTTTCTTAGTATTTAGATTGTAAAGTTTGTATCACTTACAACCAATAGGATACCCAAGAAGTATGCATTTAGATGACATAGGATCAAATTTATTTCTATCTGTAGTCAATGTAGAGGCATAACATAGACAACCTATCACTTTTCGATGATCATAAGAAGGAAGTTTATCATATAATAGTTGAAAAGGTGACTTATTGCTTAAGACAGAAGATGGTATTCTGTTAATGATATGTGTAGCAGCAAGTATATAGTCCATCTAAAAGATTAATGGTAATGATGCATGCAAAATGAGTTCCCTAAAACTTGATATAGATGTTTATGTTTTCTTTCTACCCTACCATTTTGTTGTGGTGTTTCCACCCAAGAAGTTTGATGATTTAATCCATGAGATGTATAAAAATCATTGAGAGAAAACTTTGTTCCATTGTATGATCTTATGATTTTTGATTTTAGAGTTGAATTGAGTTTGACCCATGTTATGAAAATGTATGAGAGACTATCTAGTTTAATTATCAAATGAATAACATGTCAGGTATTTAGAACTATAATAAAAGAAGATAAATTTGATGGGTTCAACTTTGGTCAATTATCGAAAAATATGCAAATTATGCATTTTCAAAATAATATAAAATAGATAATTTTAGGCATTTACAATAGTTTATAAACTGATAGATAATAATCACATATTAAATATTCAAGTATAGACCTCCATTTCTTTTGTTTTTTTTTAAAAAGAAAAAGAGAAAGATTAAATTATAAAAAAAAATGTTTAACCAAAGTTTATATTATTATCTAGCTACCGGCTCAATAAATTGGCCGGGAAATGATCCACGTCAACTTAGTCGTCGTCCAAATGTTCCAGCTCATTATATTTTCATCGGCTTCCGGCTATCGGTTTCATGATTCAACCAAATTGACTAAATTTTAAGAGTTAGTGAACCATTTTTTATCCCAATAAATTATTGGGTAAAATAGAAAACAATTTAAGTTAGTGGACCGAATTGCAATTTTCATGAGTCACGGCATAAGGAAGTGGCATATATATTGTTGGTATCAAAAATAATTTATAATTGTGTTGGAGAATAATTGAAATTTGTGGAAAGAATGAGAGACAAGTAACTTTATTTTATTGATCAATGTATTGTACAGAGAGTCGAGACAAGGCTTTTGTTTCTTTGTTCTAATTGATTATTAATTCACACCCTCCATGCATATATATAGACTACTTAAGGCAGTGAATGAGCCGCCTTTCTTGACAAAATTTTATTTTTTTAAACCATCAATTAATTAACTTAATTATTTTAATGACCACCTAACAACTAATGTCTTTCTAGAATATGAGCATTAATGATTTTAACACTCCCCCTTAATGCTCATTTTGATCATTCTAAGTTTTTCGCGTAGAGTTTCGAATCTTGGCCGCGGTGAAGCTTTTGTGAAAGTATCTGCAAGTTGATCTTCAGTGGCGACATACGTGAGCTCTATCTGCTTGTCATTAGTTGCTTCTCTTAGAAAATGATATTCGATAGCAATGTGTTTGGTCCTGCTGTGATGTACTGGATTCTTGGCCATTGCTATGGCTGATTTGTTGTCGCAGTATATCGCCGTTGGACTTTCTTGGTGTTCTCCCATGTATCCAATAATACGCCTAAGCCAAATAGTTTGACTTGTCGTTAGTGTTGCTGCGACATACTTGGCCTCTGCTGATGATTGCGCAACACAGTTTTGCTTTTTAGATGACCACGAAAATATGCTTGAGCTAAGTGAAAATGTGTAGCCTGAGGTGCTTTTCATGTCGTCAGTTGATCCAGCCCAGTCACTATTTGTGTAGCCTATCAGTCTTGAGTCTTCGTTATATTCGTATTAGATTCCGTAGTCTTTAGTACTTTGCAAATATCGCAGTATTCTCTTCGCAGCTCCATAGTGAACTTGACTCGGACTTTGCATGAACCTTGACAGTAGACTTGTTGCGTACATGATATCTGGTCTTGTGGCCGTTAGATATA